AGGCCCACTGCTATTCCTGATGTTCATCAACGACCTGCCACAAGAAATCTACAACCCATGCTTTATGTTCCCGGACGACTTCGAAGTGGCTGAAATGAACGTATATCAGGATCTGCAGGCTGTTCTACGGTGGTCCGAAAAGTGGGATTTTCCGCTCAGCCGAGCCAAATGTAAGCTTCTAGCAGCAGAAGCTGAACTTGACATACAGAATGAAATTCAGCTTAAGAGAGAGAGAAGTCAAAAAATTGGGAGTAATTGGACCTCACGAGTTCCAACACTCAACAATTTCGGGGGGCAGCCAACAAAGCTCGAAGGGAACACTTTCGCGTAGCCTCTGTATTTTATGCTGAATGTATTGAAATCCTTCCGAACACACAATGATTTATGGTGAAATAAATTTATCTGTGTGTTGCTCTCATATTGACATTTCTCGATCACAAACACCATATATCGTTATTTATCTGTTAATTCGATGCCCAGCACATTCGAAGTTTGAGTGGTTTGAGAACGTGTGCGACTGTTCGCCTCTCTCTGGACATGTTATTTGGCTCGCTTGCTTGAGTGCTTTTGGCCGCATATTTAAGATTTGCTTTATTGTACCTTCGTGATGATTTCGCTAATTCAGTACCGTGGAACATTGCGGATCAATTGTGATTTTACTTCGGGATTCGTATCGGTTCGGCTACGCGTCACTCAAGTGCGAACTGGTTGACGTACTCAAATTGGAATCAAACGAGAAAACTATCTCGAAGATGCCAAGACGAGGAATCAAGAAAACGGTAACCCCACAGGAAGTAACCCGGCAAGTCACTGGGGGGATGTGGGTCATTTTGATTATTTAGAGAATGTTAGATCTGTTAGTCCTGTCAGTGCTGTTTCATGTGTAGATTCAGATATTGAGGATATTGACATATTTAGATTGCGGGTTTCTGAGTTAGAGTATGCGTTGAGATTAGCTAGACAGCAGATAGAACAGGCCAAACGTGAAAGAACCGAATAAAACGGCACAACATCACCTCGAGCTGAGACTGCACACAGTGGCTTCTCTCCGAATAACAAAGTCGTCCCTCAGCAAAATACGTATGCCCATGTAAACATCGATTTGCCAAGAGTTGAACTGACACCTTTCGATGAAAAATCCGGAACAATATTTCCAATTCACTCGCCAATACGAAAATTTCGTTGAATGCAAAACCGACGATGCAGGGCAAATGTTTCAGTCTTTGCTACGCTACTGTCGGGGGAAGGCCAAAGAGGCTATACAAGGGTATGCAATGCTGCACCCGGAATTGGGCTACCCGAGAGCCAGAAATATACTGAAGGAAATGTTCGGCCAACCA